GACAACAACTTGTCTGTTCCCCTTCCCCCAATTCCCTAGCACTGTTCCCCCCCCCCCCCAATTCCCCCCCCAAAAAAAATCTTTAAAAAAAAAAATAAATAAATAAAAACGAAAGATTTTGTTCCCTGAAAGTTTGGACCCAAAACGTGGGTGCGCGTTATACACGGGAGTGCATTATACTGGGCGAATACGGTATATCTCTCTCTAATGCTTCTTAATAGCAATTACACTGCCAGCCAGGGTTTCTTTTCTTCGATAGTGTATTTCTTATGTGTTTGATAAATCAGCCTAAGTCTGAGTCTTTTCTCCAGAATCCAACTCCAAAGCTGGAGCTACGCTGGGAATGTCCCCCGCATGCATACACACCATCACGCAATCACGAATACCCCTCTCACGGACATAGCATAAGTGGTTACTTTACATCACTGGCCTCCAGGCTTCCAATCGTCCAGGGGGCATTTGCTACAGACTAGAGCAAATGCTACAGAACAAAATATTTAAGAACCCACATCCCAATTTAACTGCCACTGGACGTAACTTCTTCAATATTTCTTCATAACTCTTTAATAAGATAAATTTAATTGTAATACTACATATATTACATATAATACTTACATTATATATATATATTATATATAAGTTCATTATGTTAATTTAATTAAATAAAAGAAACACAAAGATCAATAACAGCTATTAAAATAGCCGAAAACCTTTCCATGTAGTTTTCAGAAATTAAAAAACAATGATGATTGGTTAGCAGATTCTACATTTTTCATTCTACACATTTATGTACACTTCACACTAACTCCATACATAACACATCTTCTCTTACTACACTTGTGAAATGTAGGAAATTCAAAGAAAAGTTCAAAGTCAATTACATGTAAAACTCAGCCAGATCCTTTCCAACAAACTTAGCAGATCGAATCCTCCCAATACTCGTGTACATTTCAATGGTGGCATGGGACAGGTCCTGTGGGGAAGGGAAAAACCACGTAATTCTGTACTATAATTTTAATGCCAGACAAACCCCACATTTATTTACCCAACTCTGAAGCAAAAGACTTATTAATATAACATTATTTTTTACTTTGTATCTACTTTTTATGGCATATGTAATTAATACAAAGTTGTTAACTTGTACGTAAAATTATGAAGGCATAATAAAAGAAATAGGAACTCAGCAGCACAGAATGTTTAACTTTTCAAAGTACTTTCCGAATATGGGTAACATTTGTAATATTTTTCTCACCCTGGATAACAGGGACAAACTATTAAGAGGCTACCGTGTAATGTTCTCGTGTTGACAGTGACTCGGGTACACAGCTGATTCACCGAGCTTCTACCTACACTGCTTTCGAAGGTCTCCCCCAAATGTAAGTCCTTTCGAATAGAGCACAGTAGCTCTGTTCAAGTCCAAATTATTCCTCTGTCCATAGAAAACCATTCATTATCCTTTCTTGAAATTTCTGTTCTATTGAATGAGCAATACCACTCTGAATAAAACTATAAAAACCCGAAGATGCTTTGATGCCTCATACAGCACCATGAATACTAATAAACATTTGAAGATCAACAGCTACTCCAGGTTTGACCCACAACTCCCTAGGGTACCAACGAAACTGAAAGGCCAACTAGAGGGAGGTCCCAGTATCAGCTCATTCCCAATGCAAAGAAGCTCAGCAGACACAACGTGTTCTAGAGCCGGGTTTTCTGCCAAGGGGAAATGGGGAACATATGAAATACTTACTAAGTAATGTTTTTCAAAAGCTTCTACTGATGACAATGCTTCTTTGAGTTTCTTGTAAGGACTCTGAGCTGTGCTGGCTTAAACAGAAAGAAATAAGAGTCCTCATTCATCTTTATTACGTCCAGTCACGTGAGCTTACATTGCCCCTCACCTGTCAAAGGTAGACAGATGACTTCATCTGACACATGAGGAAATTACACACAGCCATGCTAGCCGAAACTGCACAATTACCTAATTCTTATCTAATTCATATAATCATGAAATAGTTTAGCCTTTCATGTAAATACTTTTATCTTTGACTGAGATCAGGATTTTTAAAAGTAAGTATTACAAATCCTCCAATGAATTAAATTACTGTCAAAATGACCTGAGGTGGTCTCAGGGTGAAATAGTGCAATATAAATATTACACGTTTTCCTTTTTAAATGTAGTCAATTTAGCAGGAGTCCTTTCAATTTTTTAGGAATTCTTTACTTTAGCACTCATTTTCCTAAACCAGACTCATCACTATACTCGTACCTTAAGGAACCAGTAACGCTCCTTTCAAAGAGCTTTATTATCCAGGAGGAACTCACTGAGTGAAAGCACCTGTCTGGCCATATTGTTAGAAAAACAAGACCTTCTGCAATTCACAGAGAGACTGAGGCATTTAAATGTCACACGGGCTGCAAGTCATGGTCAGCTCATTTAAGCCTCTGAGAAGCTCAAAGACATTTTTAAGAATCCTTCCAACAAGTTCTGAAACTATTCCTAACATTCCTTCATGTGAAATACTAAGAGGTAAGATATCCTGCGTATTAATCTGGTCAGCTAATAATGAGTGTAATTTCCCAAACAGTGAGTAACTGTAACGTTAGAACCCAAGTCACAGGTGCCAAGTTACAAGCACAATTTCATTCCTTTCCACTGTCCCACCTCAGAGGTTCACCTCAAAATGTACCTGTTTCAGGTCGCTCGGCTCCCAAACCTGCCAAAAGATCGACTGTCCTGTTGAGGTCCTCTGAGTTAGGTCCTTTTTCTGACACGAGTCCACACAGATAGCCCAAGGACTTCAGCTGAGGAGGTAAACCCACACTTTCAATTAATTTGCCTTAAGCGTCAGCAGAGACTTTTGTGAATTTAAATATAAAAATTAAAATCTAATGGAATTCTAGAAGAAATTTAGCTTTCCTGTCTAAAGGATTCTTTTCCGCACATGAAACTGTATCAAACATATGCCTTCTGCACAGTCATTGTCAGAGTGGCTCTGAGGCCAGGGCCTCCCAGACTCTGCCACTCACCTGCCGACACTCTCCCAGGCTTTCAAGGTCTCCCACTCAGTCTGCATCCCACGACCCCATCCCACTGACCTACAGGACGGCCGTCAGTCACTTAGGCAGAAGCCACGAGCATTTCTGCACGTTTCACACCTCACCCTTCTGTGACCCCCATTCCTGCCAGCCAACTACACCTTCAATAAAAGCACAGCAAGTGCCTGAATACAGCATACTTAGGGGACCATTTACTTAGTTCATGGCTGCCACTAGCCAGGCCCGAAAGGAACCAGACCTGCCCGAGGAGTGACTAAATGCACACCTCTCACAAGAGCTTACTCCGTCTGCCCCGAGGGGCTCAGCCCCCAGACGGCCCCACGCATACCCAGGTTACCTTCTCTGTGGCGTAGCTCCACAAACCCACAGTGTGGGCAATGTTAGAGTCTATCTGTGCCCGGTCACAGCAGCCTTCTATCCTCTGCAGCACCTCCAGGCAGCTCAGGAACACCCAGCAGTCCAGCGCGCCGGGCGGGACGGACACCTGGCCGGTAAGAGCGGGCACATGAGGAGGGCGCTGCGCAGGGCACCAAACCCGCTCGCTCCAGCCTGCCGTCCCAGCAGCCACTGTGTAAAGGTGCTATCACCACCAAGGAGAGGGGACGATAGCAACCATTATATCTGTCTGCTACAGAGAGAAAGGGCTCACGTGATCTAGGTCCAACTATGTGATCTGGTCTTGTGTTTGGGTGCTGACAAGCAACTTGGCACGGGTGCAACTTTCAGAAATAGATTTTTAAAGCTTGTGAAGAAAAGAGGCCCATACAAGGCCAACTATTATCATTTTCTCTAAGTGTGACACCTGGTCACACCGCAGTTTGAAGAGCACATATTACAAAGGGAGGAAGTGACGACCTCAGATGAAGGCTAGTCACACTTCAGAAAGACCATACGCCATACTAGAAATCTGGATACTAGGTGGATGTTGGATGACATTTAGGAATTTCTGTGAATGTTTTAAGTGTGATCATGTTTGTAAAGAGGGTCTTCCGTTGCTCAGAAATGCACACTGAACTACTTACACACAAATAAAGCGCGGTGTCTAAGATTTTCCCGAAAGATAATCCAGGGGAGGTGGACAGGGACAGAGGTGGCCATCTTACTGGCTGGCTGGTGACTGCTGTAGCTGCTGATGGGTACCCAAAATTCGTTATATTATCCTCTCTACTTCTGTATGTATTTGAGCAGTTCCATTAAAAAAATAATGAAACAAATGTGACATTATGCAAAAGCATCTACTGTACGTGATGGGAGTCTAACTAGGAGGCATTTGGACCCCATTTTAGCGTCTCTGAAACAGGAGCATGTGCCCCATTCTACGGCATTGTCAGGGTCACAGCTGGCAGTGCTGGCCGCATGTGGTGGCACTACCGTCATGGGGTATCTTACAACTGGGCCCCAGGCCTGGTGAGACGGTAGCTGGTCTACTGAGAATGGGAACCTGGGAGGTGAATAGCCAACAGCTGACAGAGAAGGCGCTGCACAATGCGGACGAAACTGATCCAACCCACCCTGAGTGCCAATGAGAGGACCGGGAACCAGCCGGAAAGAGCCAGAGTGCCATCAAAGGCTCCGATAAAAGCTGGACTGCCCAGACTCTGAAGAATGAGGTCAACTATTCAGCCCCTTTGAAAGGCCAGCACAGGAAACAATCACACGGTCAGAGGCGGCTTCCATAAAAGAAGGCTTTCTGACCTCCTCACCCAGAAACAGCTGGTCACAGGACGCAGCTTTGGAACCCTGGACAGAAGGCGTCCGTCCCTCCCCGGTCAACCCAGGGCAGGCTCTGAGTCGGCTGCCCTCGCCGAGCGTCCTCCTGGTTCCAAGGTGCCAGGTGACCTGGGTACTCTGGCCTCACAAGACACTACACCACACAGGTACCAAACCTGTGGAGACCAGCTCACATGCCAGGAAGCGAGGCTGACGCTGGTTACGTGCAGGGAAGATGGGACACACACTGCGCTTAACCTGCCTACAGATTAAGTCTTCTGACTCAGCCAACTCCGAGGGAACCCAGGAGTCACAGCAGGGAGCTCCAAGAGGGGACAACCAGGGGCTGCCAGGTACAGGCCGGCTGGTTTCCAGGATCAGGGTGCCCACACCCCTGGGCGCTAGGCTGCTCTCTGAACCCCACGGGAGTGACAGCAGCAGAGAACGAGTGACGGACAACAGGGCACATCTGTGTGTGTGTGGGAAGACTCGCGGGTCACAGGCCACAATGGGAACAGTGGGCCACTTTGTGGAAACATTACAGAACAGAGGTTTTCTTGGTATATTTGTTTTCTGCAAAGAGCAAGTACCACTTTAGGAAGTTTGAAGAAAAGTGTGTAAAAAGCAACACTGTCCACCAGCAGCAGCTTTTCTAGGGGTAAAAAAGGCAGATCTAGTGGCAGTTCCCGGCTGCTGCTGGAACTTCACCTGCCAGGCGGGGGGAGGTCCAAGTGAGCCCGAGGACACACTGACACAGGTGCTGGCTGGCACTCTCGCCCGCTGTCCACATGCTAACTGAAACCTGAAGCTGCCCTCCAGTCCTGCCCGGTGGGAAACCATGGCACACGCTGGTTCCGGCCACACGGCCTGCTCAGCAACGATAGCGCCGGGTGCCCCTATTTCAGAGACTTGCATGGCTTCCTCCATTCCCTACCACACTGGTCTAAACGTCAGTTTTCACTGAAGGTCTCCTGCATGTTAACTGGCAGGTCATACGGCATCTCATGACACCTCTGATCTGTCGCTTCGCGGTGCCTTTTACCTCTCACGCTGCCACTCACTGTGTGTCCATCTTAGCTCCCAGCCAGAGCCCAGTCCCCCAAAGAAACCTGCTACCCTGCTACCCTCCCCACACACCTCAGAGGCCGGGGGAGCTGGGCTCCACGGAGCACGTCTCCACTCGTGGGTCATCTAAGACTTTGGGAGATTTTCATGAAACATTTATATTTAAATATGATTATAGTAATACTTTTTTTCACGCTTTAAAAAATTAATTATACAACATACATACAGTGAGGTGCGTAAAGGGCAGAAATCCTAAGTTTACAGCTCACTGAATTTTTATATCTGGACTTATCCCAAGTTCAGTGCCAAGTATGACCTGCCTAGGCTCTATTCACACCCCATGTCCCCGAGCCCACTAACAAGATGATCTCTCTAGGCCGGGTCAGCTCTCCGGGCACATGTGAACAGACAGCCGGTCCTGCTAACCAATGGCTGCCTCAAAGCCTCCCGTCTGTACAGCAAGATCGAAGCAGCCAGAGCGATGCCCGAAACTTGCTTAGCTACAGGCAGCCAAAAGGATGTTATTTCGAGGTGGAAAATGTTATTTTTCCTCACTTGCCTGATTATATGTCTAAGGCAATAAAAATAATTTGATAAAAACTCTTAAATTCTTGGGCCGGCAGAGTGGCGCACTGGTTAAGAGTTGGCTTGGGACGCCAGCTCTGAGCAGCAGTGTCCCCGGTTCGGATCCCACATGAGGGCCAGTGACACTGCACTTTCTACAGCTAAGATGGTGAACAACAGCTCGACCTGGCACTGGGCTGCTGTGAGTCACTGGCGACAGCGTAGGCTGCAGTGGGGCTGGCCGGCAGCTGCCGTGAGCTGCCGTGAGTTCCAGTGGCCGGTGAGCAACTGCCTCACCTGGGAAAAGTGCAACGATAATACCAACATGGGCCAGTGAAGCGACGTCCTCCACAACTAGACTGAAGAACAAAAGGACAGCAACTTGTCTGTTCCCCTTCCCCCAATTCCCCAGCNAGCTGATGAAGAAATAAACACATTGTGGTCCATCCACACAATGGAATAGTATTATCCAGCCATAGGAAAGAATGATACACTCACACACTACAATATGGATGAGTCCTGGAAACACCACGCTGAGTGATTCATTTACGAAATACCCAGAATCGGTGCCTAAATAGTGGACTGTGGTGACGGCTGCACATAGCTGCGAATACACGAAAAGTCACTGAACTGTATACTGCAAATCGGTGAATTATACGGCCTGTGAATTCTATCTCAACAAAGATGACTTGTTAAAAAAAGGTCAGTGTCTTGAGAACCAGAAAAGGAGGTGTGGGAAGAACAATTGTAAGTTAAAAGAGAACTGAGATACAATCAAATTGTGGTATGTAGTTCCTGATTAGATCTACTGCAAATAATGGAAAAAAAAAAGTTTTTGAGACAATGAGATTTGAATTTGGGCTACTGAATAGCCGAGGTTAGAACCTTGCAGATCTGGGCGTGATTGGGGACAGCCTTGTTCTCAGAAGGCACATGTTACACTGTTTCATGGTGAAGTTTACAAATGGGTGTGGTTGCTTCCAAATTCAACAAAAAGAAAAAAAAAGAAATAAATAGACACGTTTGCTGCACAGTAAAATGTTACCAGTTATTGCATCTAGTTGGTTAGTAACGCCATACATTGTATTACTCTTTTTATTTTTCCATGATATTTGAAAATTCTCCTAATCAAGTTTTAACAATTAGTCTTACTTGGGCTGTCTGGCTGTCGGCTGGCAAAGTTGAGTATCTCTTGGCAGAAGTGTTTCCGTTCCTCTTCAGTTAAGTGAGGGTCACTAGCCAAAAGGCTGCTGGTCTGCAGGTAGCTGGAGAGGAGTCAAGGTGCCTACAGGGAGGGGCGCTGCACTAACAGCTCCTACAGGCCCCCAGGGCTTTCACAGTGCAGCCCACCTTTTTTATTAGCTATTAGGAACTCAAAAAGGGATCAAATACGCGGAGTAGACATTGAACTTACACTTGACACGGTACCTGAATGCAGCTAAGCTTTTACTCTCCTAATCATTGGGTGCTTATTAACCTCCCTGGCGGTCTGATTATGTCAGTAATTTTGTACCCAAAGCGGTACATTGTTTTGCATGGAAATTTGTTGTTTTATATTGTAGGCCTGNAAAAAGAATACAACTGTATCCCCACAAGAGAAAACTGAAATATATTAAAAGAATAAAGTTGCTTGGATAATGTGATTAACGTAACATTAAAAAAAAACCCCAAATTAAATTTAAAATTTTTGAGTTTGTGACTCAACAGGGCTAGGCACTTCTTTAGAAATTAACTAAAATTATTTCTCTTCCTTTGGGTTAAAAAAATGTTTAAATTTCTTGAGATCATTTTGAACTGGCTGTTGAGCCTGTAATTTAGTATTCTAGGACACACAAAATAAGAGTTACAGTGTTAGGCAAGACTGTACTTCCCAACGGCTCAGCTAATACAGTAAAATTACTTCCCGCAGGAACTCTGACACCTGCACCCTCAGGAGCGCAGGTGTGGACGAGGACAGAAGGCCCCTAGCCGGCCTGGGGCTCTGCTTCTGTGACCACTTAGGTAACTGGGCAAGTCACCCACCGCTTCCCGGCCACTTTCCCCAGGGGTGAGGGGTGTCAGACCACTCACTGGGTGCATCCCCAGGGTGAGGTGGGGGTGGGGGGCCTATGAATCCTCTGAAATGTATGAAACTTTCTGTATGTGCTCGTGTGCATTTTTCCAGGGAAAGGAGTTCGCTGCAACAAAATGGCAGGAACCCCTCGAGGTTCCCTGAGCGCACTGCGATGTTTAGATTCCATGGGCAGGAGAAGAGCTCAGGAGCCCTTCTGATCTCCAAAGGCAGTGCTTCCTCCTACAGGCAGGCAATGTGAGGCCTCGCTGGGCTTTCCTTCACACGCACAGCACATGCGGAGTCACATGGACCGTCCCTGAAACTGCGCTACTGAGCCCCGTGGCACAGCCCACCCTGCATCCCGCTCCAGTGCCTGTGTGTTCACGTGCAAAACGAAGGCACTTCTGACAGGACGGGGCCTAGTTCTACACACCCACGCAGGGCGAGTCATCTTCACCAGTGGAGACCAGCTCCCATGGAACCAGCCAGGGGCACCTTCATTCCATTAAAACCGACCTAGGAGGCTGCTGGCTTCGGGCCACCAGGCACTCACGCCACTGCGTAGAGAGCAGACACTTACTTCCCAGCCATTAACTAATCACTGCCGGGAGTGCCTGTGCAAATAACATGCTAAGAAGGAAGGGCATTCAGACCGACGGCTCCAGCCTCCACAGACAGTCAGGGCCTGGAAGGCCGTGGTCCGGGGCTGTGGGGAGGCGCGCAGGGGCGAGCGGGGTGGGCGACTCACGTCCAGCAGCTTCAGCTCCTGCACACAGCTGTGCAGCAGCTCCAGGGCGCGCTGGGCCACCTCCCACGGCCGTTGCAGGAAGAGCAGCAGGGTGCACTGGCGAGAGAACAGGTAGCTGCGCAGGTCCAACAGAGTGGCTTCCTGCCTCTGGATCAGCTCACGCTTCTCCATATCTATGGGCTTGCGGAGGACCAGTCCATTCCAGCTCTTCACCGGCTGGCAGAAAAAAGTCAGCCAGTTGGCACCATCTAGACAAACACACATCATGAAAGGCGCTGACTAGAGTCCTTCCCCTTCACCTTCCGAGACTTGTGCTCACGACAATGGTGCCTCAGCACCAATGGGCAGCTGACCACCTGCTCCTCCCTGACCACTGGCCCACCCCTTCTGGTTGGTGTGGAGAAGCCTAGGGGCACTGGGCCAGGGCAGTCACTCCAAGTCCCCCCGCAGGACTTGGCACTTGATGATGCGTGCAGAGTAACATGCCCAAGGCCTTGGCACACCCCTGGGCCATGCCAGGGGATCGTGCACAGGCTGACGGGTCGAGGGCTCAGGGGGCTGCAAGGGGAGGCGCGGGGCCTGGGCGGATGCGGGCTGAGCACTGGCTCCCTGTGCCCAAGGGCGACCTGCTCACACGGCCATGCCGGTCGTTTGGCCTCCTCGTCTCTACACTGCCGCACTCTGCTGTCCCCAACTGCACTGTGTCGGCTACCTGAGTCCTGCGCCTAGAGGAAGGGGCAGCGGACACAGGAAGACGTAGCAGCAGGCACAGAGGGGAAATTCTCGTGGTTAAAAATTCCCAGCGAGGCTCCCAATTGCAACTTAAAACCCCAAGACTCAAATATGATCTTAAACATAAGAATCTACAATAACAAGTCATTAAATCTTTATGAAAGAAAATTTCAATCTATTTTCCTCACTTCCAAAAGAGAGATGTCATATCCATTTCATTCTATGTCCACGTCAGAAGCGACCCAATACTGGCATCCGATGCTACTGAATGTCTGAATGCCGCCTACAACCGACAGCACCTTTTACAGACTTATACTCAGAGCTGTTAGGACGCACACCACGTGCGGGGCCAGCCCAGCCCTCGGAGTCCCTGCTCCCAGGATTCTCCTGGCTCACCCCCACTGCCGTTCAGGCCTGTGTGCCAATGCAGCTCGGTGAGCCTCCCAGACCATCCTAAAATCAAACAGCACCTCTCGCCACCCTAGCCCTCACCTGTCTCCTTTCCTGCCACCTGCTCTTATTCTACTACCACCTGACTTTAAGTTAAATATTTATCTTTCTGGGCCTGTTTCCCCTTCACATGAACTCCATGAAGGGAGGGATTTGTTTCGTTCCCCCACAGTATTCAGAATGGTGCCTGGTACGTAGTGGACTCCCGACAACTATCTATGGAACGGAGGAACAAAAACGAGCCATCTTATCCTTCAGCTGCAAAACTTGGTCCAGGCTCACTGCTGGGTTTTAAACGGCCCCAGATTTACTTTAAAACTGAGATAACAAAGAAATCTTAGAAATACGTAAGGTTATTTTAAAAACTATATGTGTATAATATGAATGTGCAAAATATAGGAAATGTAATTTGACCTCTCCTAAATTTTTTTAAATGTCATTAGTAAATACATACTTTGCTTTGGTTGTATGTTTATATTTGTGTCTCAGCAAAGTAAGAGACCCAAGCCTGGACGTGGTAAAAACCGGTTTGGAGTGAGACTCATCAGTGACATTTCATCGTCACTCCCACAGCACGGGTGGTGCCCGGGCTCAAAGGGACCGTCCCAGGACCGTGGCTGCCTACGGGTTTTCTGGCAGATTCTATGGTTCCCTGACATCACTCCTTTCTTCAGACGCCGTGACAAGGGTTCTCTCAAAAAGAAGACCAACAAAGACGTCTATTACAGCCCCGCTGTGGTGGCCAGAGTGGAAACAACCCCAATGCCCCCACACCAGGTGGCTGATAAACTAGCGAGTCCACACTGTTTAGCCCTGGGCAGCCAGGAACAGTAACTGTGAACCTAGCTTGCGAACTGGGCGAGATGCCTGTGATAAGCTGTTACAGGAACAACAGGCTGCAGACAGAAGTCTACAGAAAGAATGCCATTTCCATCAAAACAAATATCAGCCAAAAACCTGAAAAGAATCTGGGGTGGCCAGTTAGCTCGGGTGGTTAGAGCGCAGGGCTCATAACACCAAGGTTGCCAGTTCAATCCCCACGTGGGCCACTGAGCTGCGCCCTCCACAACTAGATTGAAACAACTACTTGACTTGGAGCTGATGGGTCCTGGAAAACACACTGTTCCCCAATTAACAAAAATAAAATAAAATAAAGAAATGAGCTAAAAATTTAAAAGATGCACACCCATCACAAGGTGTCACATAAAGCTCAGTGCAATGAGCACTCAGGGACTACAAAGAAGGCCTCTCCACAGGAGTAAAACTCCCCCACTGAGTTGCAGCAATGACGCTGTATGTGAAAAGCAACTGCTTACACGTTGCCATGACTTAGGATTCTTCCAAAAGTGAAAGTAACTAATTCCTAACTCTCTCGCTCATTTCCTAGTGGAACCGTGGGAATGTTTCCTATGTAATTTACGCAGAAGCAGTAACACAAGATGATGGCATCCTGTGGTGAACCAATGGCAGCCCCCAGGCTGCCGAGGGGGGGGACGGCTGTGAACGCGCGTGCTCCTGAGACAGCACACTCACCGCCGGCGCCGAAGTTGACCACGTACTGCGAGAAGAGGGCGTCCAGCTCATCGTACTGCACCAGCGCGTCTTCGAACTGCTGCAGCATCTCAAACACAAACGCGAGCTCCTCCTGTGCACCCAGGAAGCCCAAAAACACAAGCACAAATCAACTTTCTGAGACACGCCATGGCAACACTCCTAGCGATAACACCAGAGTACGGCACGCGGCGTTCTGACTAATGCATGGGCTGTGCGCGTAAAAACCAGAGTGACGACACGTCGACATTTAAGCAGGCACAGAGAAGGACCGGCCGGAGCAGGCGGCGGCCAGCGGTTCTGAGCCCCCCACAGCCTGTGAGCAGCACGGGGCACCAGACATCCCCCTGTCCTTGCCGTTTCCCTTGCCATCTCAGGCACACATTTGTAACTGGGATTCTGCCATGGAGGAGCGGGGCCTTCTCCTCTGTTTACTCAGTTAGCCAGCTACTTCTTTCTATCCATGTCGACTCGCGGGCGTTCAGTGTATTCCACAGGCTAAAATCTGACTGTCCTACTGTATGTTGTCGCACAACTGGTCCAGCTTTGGCCATGGGGGCTCCTCTAGGTGCTGCTTCTGCTCTTCTGACGGCCCTCCATCCTTTTTTGTGCACTTCCTTACTTGCTGGTTCTACAAGATATTCCACGTCCACCTTGCATTTTCCCTGCCTCAGCCCTGGAATCAGCCACTTCTACAAGGAGCCCAGGTACCTTAGTGGAGAATGGAGTCTAGAAACCAAAATCTTGGCTAGGTGTACTCATTACTATTGAGGTGTCATCGTCTTCTAGGTTCTGTCAGAGGACAGAGCAAGAAAATGTATGTATGTGATTGCGTACTACTAACCCTCACACACACATACACTGTATTTCTGAATTAACTTACCCATCCATCCATCACCCACTCATCCATCCATCCGTCCATCCTTAATCCATCCATCCTTAATCCACCCACCCACCCACACATCCATCCATCCATTAGTCCGTCCATCCATCATCTACCCATCCATCCATCCTTCCACCCACACACCTATTCATCCATCCATTCATCCATCCATCCATCCATCCATCCATCCATCCATCCATCCATCATTCATTCATCATCCATCTACCCACCCATCATCCATCATCCACCTACCCACCCACCCATCATCCATCCATCCACACATCCATCCACCATCCATCTATCCATCTACCCACCCATCCATCCATCCATCCACAAAAATCACTGGTTCACAATGATACCTCAGGTTCCAATCCAACACCACAGGGTTCATTTAGACCCCCCCTTTTTCCTTGTTTGTAACTCTTAGAATCTAAGTTAAATAAGCTCGAAGGGTGAAGAGACAGGACACTCTGAAAGGTCTGCAGCAGGTCAATCACACAGGAAGTTTCCTCACGTGAACCAAATCATCCAAATGCCACTACAACATAAGCATCAGAATAAGAGAAGCACCAAAACGTGTCATCAGAATTGGTTTTTATTTGTTCACAGTGCACTGTTTCTTTAGTGACTAATACACAAGTGATATTTAAATGTGAAAATCATGCTTTTTCAGTCAAAAACTGGTGAATAAGGACAAGGAACCCTAAGGGCAACATTCTTGTCACTCTTTGCTGTGTCAGGAAGGTCCCCTCTCCCCCAAATGATACTATCACACATCCCTTTATTCACTTAAAACTTTCCTTCTTCAAGCAGAAAAAGGGCTATTACAGACGACAGTTTAAAAATCTAAACATTTTCAACAACAGTAAAGAGCTAGTGTGAGACTGTGTGTACTGGAGCCCAAGATCACAGGTCAAGTGAGAAGGCAACGCCCCATCTCCGTGCCGGGCAGCAGGGCCCTTCACCATCGGGCTGTCACCACTGCTCGGGCTCCGCTGCCTATGACCCCAGAAAGCCGCGACACTAGCAAAGCCAGGATCACTCTGAGGACAAAGCCATCTCATCAAGGGTAGATGCCAAGCTGAGGCAGCAGGGAGCTGATGACAGTTACTCAGGGGACCACTTCTGGTCCTCTGCTTGATGAGCCCAGGGACTGAAACGTCTGGTAGCTACTACATTGTCTCTTGGTTGTAAAAACTATGCCATCTAGAATCACCACAGAAAGCCACCTTATTTAGAAAGAAAAAGGGAGGGAGGGAGGGAGGGAGAGGGAAAGTGCCTTGTTCTCGCTCAGTCAAGTACCTGAACCATGAAATATTCACAGAAGCTCCAGCCGGGCTCAGTCCTCTTCTCCCTCAAGGTCCTCATGTCATCCTCAAACTTGCCTAGGTTTTTGGTAAAAGACATAAGAAGCAACGTCCTGAGTTTGGTCAGGAAGGCATTCCAGGATTCCTGAGTTCGAGACGAGTCCTTCAAGGGGTCGGAGAGCACGACGCACCTGCAGAGACATGGACCGACTACCTGGGAAATACTCCCCAAGCACAGCCCCACTACCCCACTCCGCCATCCTCTCCTCCAAGTGCAAACAACTTCCTCCCACCCTTTCCCTCCCTCCCTCCTTCATTAACTGTTGAAAGACATCAGGAGAGCTGTGAGCAATCAGATTAGACAAGGTTAACGCCACATGAGCAGTTCAGTGCTGTTGTAAGGAGCCACTGCAGAATGGACTGGAAAGGAGGAGGGGCTGCAGCTTAGACGCTGCCTCTGGGTTCTCTGTGAAATAAGGTGACCATGTCACTCACCTCCCAAACCTCGTTTCCCCTGCCCCTTCAAAAGCCTCTTTGGTTCCTTGACAGGATGAAACTTGATTTTTTTAACATGGCATATGAGGAGCCTTACCATTGGATCCAACCGAGCTGTCTAACTCTTGCACTCTTTACTTAACTCTTACGATCCCAGTTCAGGCCCACTGAGCTTCTCACGCTCCTCCCTGTCTATGGAGCGTGCTCCTACTGACCCTTCAAAACCCCGCTCAGCTGCCCTGGCCTCACGCCCCGCCCCTCCACCGCCACTCCCCAGGGCTTGTCCTCTTGGCCCGTGATTGTACCACTACCCCAGTAAGCGCCACGCTGTAAACACCTCCTCTCTCTGGAGGCCTGTCTCTCCCACCAGGCTGAGCTCTAGAGTGGGGCAAATAAATAATAAGTAAATAGAGGCCTAGGAGAACAGGCTTAACGTGGAGGCAGGATGCAGTGTCACTACAAAAAGACTGCATCCGTGGTGGGAAAACATCAGAGGCTTAACACTGCCAGAGCTTCCAGTGGATCTGGAAAGGACAATGTCTCCATCGACAGGCTGGGCAAGGTAACTTTCTTCATCCTTTAATCATTTCAAAAGAAGACGAATAAACCTGAACTCAGAAGTCGTTTTACCATATTGATGTTCTGAGCTTCAGCAACTATCCTCAGTAACAGTCCACCTGAATTAGCAGCCACAGAAACAGACCGTGTCATCTCCCTGCACCCCTCACTCACACCCTTTGCACAAGGGCTAACTAGGAAGCGCTATGCCACTGGACAGAGGGAAGCAGCCCACAGTCCAGGTGACCCACAGGTGGGCAATCAGCACCACGGAGAAAACGTAAAACTCAGTAGGGGCTTTCATTCCAGTCAATCCACCTCCCCAACCCTGTTTCTTCCCCTGAGAGGCCGAGGGTCCAGCCAGCTCCCTCCTAAAGCCCCCCAAAGACTACCATGTGCTGCTGAGTCACTGTCTGAGCAGCCAGAATCTACAGCTCAGTGGCTCATCCTGCAGGCACTCCAGGGCTGTAGCTCCAGGTTATTCCCGACCAGACACAGAAGAGCCCCTCTACCTTCCGGGGTAGGTGGAAACCGACACAAACAGCAACCCCCAAAACAGGATTTTTTTCAGTGACCTGGTTCTTATCAATTGGACACCATATTCATTATTTTCTCTACCCCTTATTTATGGCCTTCAACTTTTGCTGTTTCTAGACCTTTTTATAATTAAAAAGCACTATGCTTCAGAAATTCCCATCAAGCCTAGATGGTTAACTCGGAAAGGGAGGGCCCCAAACAGCACCTCAGGTGGGTGGGGGCCAATCGAGAGAAGAGCAGAGTCTTCAGGGTCCTGGCTGCTCGGCTGCCCTGGGCAGCTGCTCAGAGGCGCAGTGTCACCAGGAGCTGCAGGCTGGGATCTCCGTCAGTCAATAGGACAACTAACAAGGCAACCCTCTGATTCAGCCATACTTACCCCAGCCTGAAATGCACCAAACTGTTACCAAGCAACTTTCCTTTTAGGGATTTATCCTAAGGATCTATACAGTGTGAGAGCTAGAGAGACCTTTATAATGTTGTTTATAATAATAGGTCAGCAATGACTTATAAGCCCAGCAGAGGACGGAATAGATAACTTAGAGTACGTGGATACTATGCAATATTAGAAACTCACCAACAATAATGGTGTAGGCATACACTGTAGGAAATACTGTTACAATGTATTTGGGGAAAAGGCAGGGATAAAACACTATGCATAGTACATCACACACATATGTCTGCATGTCTGAAAGGTACACATCAAACACTAAGAGTTAACATCTACTTTCTCTTTGCTCATTACCTTTTTGAATACTTCTACAATGAACATGTAAATATTTACAATCAGAAATTAAATACAAGATTAAAGTTAAAAAAAACAGTAAGCCACCTCAGGACCAGGTGTTCCAATGTCTCCAAAGGCAGAAATGGTGCTAATAAAACAACTGTCAATACGGATGTTACCAAATTCAAATTCATGAAAATCTGACCCAGCTTTTTACACTAAGAAATATAGATTTGTCCAAGGTGGCTTTGAAAATGAATGAAAATCAAAACGTTAGGAGGCGGGCCGGCCGAGTGGCTCAGTTGGTTAAGAGCTTACTCAAGAGTGTGAGCTCTGAGCAGCAGGGTCGCAGGTTCGATTTCCAGCCAGAGCTGAGCTGCCAACAGCTGCCAACAGGTGGCAGGATGGCTCAGCTAAAAAAAAAATCCCAGAAAAACAAAACAAAACAAAAAAGTTAGGCATGTTTAAATACTGAAGATAAAATGCTAAAAATTTCAGTAAGTTAAATTTTACATAGTCATTAAAAGCAAGTTAGTTTTAAATGGGCTCAGCAGAAACGTCCTTTTGGCAATTAGATAAAAAGTATAACTTAAAAGTAATCAATAGGCACTTTGAAAAATTTATGATAGAAATTGAACCATTTCACAAGGTTAGACCACTACACTCCATTAATACCAACTTATTTACCTAATAAAATCCCAAATATGATTTCTTTTGTTATATTAAAACCACTCAAAGGCCACTTGGTTTTGTTTTTGTTAATCTGTGTCCCCTGTCCCCTCCAAGGCTGTGGCAACCTGCTCTTCCTGCTCTGAGGTCAAGGTCAGAGTCCCTGTGTCGCAGAGAACACACTTGGTCATGGTGCATCCTGTTAAGATGTTCAAGTGATTCCTTCGAATTCCTTACAAATGTGTGAATAACAGACCTTAGAAAAAAATTCCCACAAGTCCAGATTGCATGAAATTTCTCTAAGATAAACCATAAGCTCAACAGTCTATAAACAAAGCAAGTTGGCACATGACTGAAAAGGAAGTCCACGTGTGGCTCCACGCCCTGAAAAGCTGTGTGTTCACTGGGTGGCCCTGACACAGGGCACGTCAGGGACGCAATCGGCCACGTGGCAGTGTGGTTCGTACCCAGGCCACACCCCTGGGGCTCCCCCTAACTCCCTGGCACTCTTCTTTCTCAGCCCCACAGCTGCGTTCTCAGGGCAGCTCCCTCAGCCCCCAGGGCAGGCCAGCGCCCCTGCTCCAGGCTCCTGCCATACACTCTGGAACCCCCTGTTCTGAGCACTTGTGACCATGGTGACCCCAGGTGTGATCACCTGGGTGTGAAGCAATGCCTATCTCTGCCACTAGATCACACTGTACCAGAGCAGGGACCAGCTCCCCACTGCACTCCAGGACCTGGGTGAGTTAAAGTGCTAAACTATGAGATACAGACTAAAATTACCTAGGCATTAAGACACGTGCTGGCCGGCACAGCTAGGACCCACACCACTGAAGACAGGAAGTGAGCTGACCCTGAGAGAGAGCAGGGCCCAGACCGGGAAAAGTCAGAGGGCAAAGTCAGTGCAGCGATACCGCCACCAGGGCTTCAGCGGCCCTTTCAGTTTCCACAGGAGATCAGTCAGCACTTTGTAACTTCTGTTTTTAGGAACTCTTACTGGGTGTTAAAAAGGTAAACGAACAAACACAGTGTCCCAAAGATAGAAACCTTTAAGGAATCCTGCTGCACACAGGCCCGGGAGACTCCTCAGAGGCCTCCCTCGCTAACGCCCAGCATCAATCTTCAAAAAGGGGACCTAGTGTGTGGCCGCTCCCACAGTCACCGGGTCACAGGACCTCTCCCCCAGGAAGGACACTGCACAGACCAGGACCCCACACGGAGAGGGACCTGGTCCTCTCTTCTGCACCCCCATCACCTGCTCAAGTGTCACGCACATCACAGTCGCCCGCTCCCCGAAAGCCAGTATCTGTACCATCCAGATAGCAGCCCAATGAGGTAAAATTAAAGATGCACTTACCTGTCACTCTGTTTATTACAAAAATCATTTCTTATTTTGTCCACAATAGAAGTTCGGGGAAGAATGTTGGTTTTGTTTTTTTTCTTGGCATCATTTTCAACTACCACTATTAACCAGTCCACAGAGCTATGAGCTTTCAGAACATTCTGCCACTTGGTAAGGTCGTCTTTTACTGTAGCTTTATACACTTCAGTATCCTAAAAATAAATAAGTCACTGTGAAAGCAAGTTAATCAATCCCTTTTGTTTACACGGCAAAACATGTCTAATCACAGGGAATGCAGCGGCCAGAGGCTCACAGCGTGGGGACGGGGCTGCTCCGGAGGACACCCAGCACCGAGCCTGCCCGCGGGCGCTCTGGGCACGCCCTTGGGACTCATGGTCTCCAGACACTCAGGACACTGAGGGAAGATCCTCCAGGGTGACAGCGGCAGACACTTAGGGAGCTCAGGAGTTTGTCGGCAGTGAAGTGGGGCTTTAAAACCCAGGTCGGCGTGGGCAGAGGCGCCGTGCCCAAGCACCACAGGAGTCTCAGCCGGGTGGGTGCCCTGCCAGGGAGGTGGGTGGTAGGGGCTCCTTGAGCTGCAGGCTGCCTGTCAGCGCGGGACCCAGGCTGAATGCGGGAAGCCCAGGGCTTCCAGCTCTCTGTGAGCCCCAGAGCCACTCCAACCTCGATACCACTCGCAGGCCACATCACTCGCAGGGGCAGGGAGGCTTCAGATGCGAAGCCAAGGAAAGGGGACAACCGAGGGCTTCTTGAAGGCTGTTCTGCTTCACATGGATGGATCACCAGGGACCCGTCCTGGTCCTAAAAACCAGCGCAGCTTCTGACTCAGAACAGCCGCCCACACGGAGGCTGGGGAGTCCAGGCCCTGTATCCTCAGGGAAAAGCAGGGAAACAGCTTCCCTTGCTATCTGTTCCTCTGCTTGTAAGCGCCCTTAAGTTCCATAAATCCACTTAGAAGGTGCAGAGTGAAAATCCAAAACCGAGGTGCTTAATTCCTTTCAAAAGTAGGCATTTCACAACCTTTAGAAACGATAATTAATACCTATAGCTTAAATATACACTTTTGCTTCTTTTACTGGAAGATTCCTTATTATCCTGGCCGTATTCTCTCTAGATTTTTTTAGTGTCTCTGGCATAACACTCATGCAGACATATGAGATCTGACAATTAAGTTTGCGAACATGTTACAACAATGTTGCTAACCTTTTTTTGACATCAGAGGGATTATTTATTATGAATTTGTACCAACTAGACAGTTAACCAAGTTTACTATTTGGAAGTGCTGAAAAGCCTGTATGAAAAAGTTATATGACCTGAACTTTTCGCCAACAATTCATGGCTCTCGCATCATGACAATGCACCAGCTCACACGGCACTGTCAGTGAGGGAGTTTTTAGCCAGTAAACAAATAACTATATTGGAACACCCTCCCTACTCCCCTGATCTGGCCCCCAATGACTACTTCCTTTACTCGACGATAAAGAAAATATTGAAAGGAAGACATTTTGATGACATTCAGGACATCAAGGGTAATATGACGACAGGTCTGATGGTCATCCCAGAAAAAGAGTTCCAACATTGCTTTGAAGGGTAGACTGAAGGCTGGCATCGGTGCATAGCTTTCCAAGGGGAGGACTTCAAAGGTGACCATAGTGACATTCAGCAATGAGGTATGTAGCACTTTTTCTAGGATGAGTTCGTGGACTTAATTGTCCGACCGCGTACATGAATGTGACTGATACATGAATGACTGAAACCTCAAATTCTGTAACCAATCCCTCTTTTGGTTTAATTAATGAGTGAAAAGTTCCAAAATAACTTTCAGCCTTATTTTAAAAACTGTTATGTCCTAGTTTAAACTAGAAGCAAATACAACCTGAAAAGATCTTTGGCTTAAAAATGAAGAGAAAAAACATCTTGCAAAACTCGATCTTCTGTGACTTGCTATCGTCACACTCACACACGGCATATTCCCCACAGAACGGCAGTTTTAGGACATGCCGTGCAGATTCTACAATGCTGGTGGTGTTCTGTCGGGCTCTAAGAGCCCAAATGCATCCCTGCCTGATGGTGAAACCAAAGGCCATGGCCAGCAGCCAGGGGCCCCAGCCGCTTCCATCAAAGGGCAGACCCCAAACACAAGGCCCCACTGGCCAAGGGGCCACCAAGAGCTCAGAAGCTCAGGAGCCCAGGGCCTGGCTCCAGGCACCCTTCACCCACCCCCGCTTTCCACACTGGGGAGGGGACACGTGGTGCCGAGTCCTCTGCTATGCTAGGGCAGTTTGCAGGGACTCAGAGCAGATGTCGCTGAGCAGCAGGTGGGACAGAGCCCCCCAGACCTCTGGGAGAATCAGAACCACAGTCTGGCCCATCCATCACAGACGACAGTGAGCAAACAGGGACAGTCCTCAGGAGACTCGGTGACTCTTCAGAAGAGGAGCCCAGGTGAGCCAGTGAGGTTACGGGTCTCTCAGGAAAACAAAGCTAATGGAGGAAGAACCCATTAGCAGGGAGGGTGCCCACGGTGGGGACGAAGAGGGCAGCTGGCGGGCAGTAGCTGTGCCCGGGAATCACAGTCAACCAGGGTAAGGAGGGTCTCACAGAGCAAGATGTGGGACCCCAAGTGAGACGACGAAGGATGGGAGGACCAGGAGGGGGGGGGGTGTCCGAGACCAAACAGGGCAGGGGTCCTCCCTGTAGGTGACGTGGGCCAGAGGACGTGAGGAGTGGGTGGTCCAGCAGAGCATCTGCTCTGGGCAGGGAGGGAGGGGACAGCAATGCAGGGGAGCGGGACGCTGGGAAAGCAGCGAGCATGCCTAGTGGCAGCAATTCTCCAAATAAGCTACCATAAGGAGGATGAGGGCCCGGCGTCTGCGTCAAATCAACCCTGTGGTTAGGACTGGAATTGGAGGGAGGGG